GTTTCACATAATGGGTCCAAGTTGGCTAATATCCTAGGCCAAATAATTTCCCTGGCAGAACAGCCATAACTAATTATTTCATGGTATTTCTTCTGAAAGAAGAGATACATTTTCCAATCATTGAAGTTAATAAGATAGAGAGGAACTTAATAGTTTATCAAATCATCTGGGGGGTGGGGGTGGGGGGGATATCTCAGACAGATGCATCCCAATGGTTTGCTCCTCTACAAGTGATTAATTATTAAACTATAGTCTACCGAACTGATTTTGGATCCCCATCTTAATTTCCTATGTCTCTTTATTCTTTATTGAAGATATATAACAGCCAATTACCAAATTTCTTACAGACATGGTTCAGAAGCCAAAAGGCAAACAAGCAAGATTGAAAAAGAAGTTGGAAATTTTCTCATAATTGAATTTTTGATGAATCTAGATGATACATATAAGATATATAGATTATTTGATAGATTCTCAAGGAGTCATACCTCCATCCTCTATTCTTGAATAAAGAAAACAGTCAAACCAAACTCAATACAAAACCTACAATGGAGTCACACCCAAGAAAAATTTCTTAAGCATCAAACCTGAGAAAACGGAAAAGCAGAGACCCATTCAATTCAACCCTTTCAATTACAACAGTGCTCTGATGGTTGCAAAACAAATATGGATCCCCAAACTTTTTCTGAACATCTAAAGAATCAAATTTAGAAGCACTATACTTCTTGAACAACTCTTATCTTGAACAGTTTCTAAACACTCTACTCATGGTTCAAAGTATCGATACGCCTATCAGCAGAGGCGTATCGGTACTTCAATATATGCGGAAACATGCTTTTTTTTTCAAACTTTGGTTTTTGGGGAGTTAAATACATGTATTTTTCATTAAAAAAGAGTGGGGTCCCGAAACACCTGTAAACAGGCGTATCAGGACCCAAAAGAACCTTGACTCTACTTCTTGAACAACTCATAACTTGGATCTAGCTTAGAAAATAATCCTCTAGATGTTCGAATTATAATTAAATAAAATCAGTAGCTGCTCAATAACATCCAAGATATTCTAAATGAGTAAATCCTTTCATATACTTTTATTACAAACTTAGACTGGCCATAACTCATTTAAATCACGTTCAAATTGCATGGTTTTGGCTCTTTGGTTAGAATCTCTTTCTATCATAGAAATGACAGCTGATATACAATAGGAAACACCCCAAAGGGAGAAGTTCAACTTTAAAATCATTGCTCAAAAGTTGAATTCATATGCTTTCTGCTCTAATATGAACGTGCTATTGTTACTTAACTATGATACAATGAGCATAAAGAGAGCTGAATACTAGGTTTGTCATCTCACTCTTAATTGTAGAGGCAATCAATTTCCATGAAATCTAAAGAAATATATGCCAAGTTACTTTTAGGTACTGAAATGAACTGATAATTCTATATTGTTATTCTTCAAAATAATAATAATTTCTATATAATGGAATGGCAATAAATTCAAGAACTATTTTGGATATCCATTGTTTGGAATGGAACTTCTTTGGATCCAAGCCATTTGACTAGAGGATCATAATATTGTGTCACTAGTGTAACGTCTAGGGATTGCATTAAAAGTTAGTAAAAAGGAATGGGGCTAGACATCAATGTAATAATCCTTTTTTCTACATTTTCAAGTTGTTAGGTGTTCAAATGCAACGGAAAACATGTACCAACTACCAAATGAACAAACGGAAAATGGTAATTGCAAAAATAGTTCTGAGAGTTTCAGGCTTACCTCCACAAATTTTGTCTTGGGAAGCTCAGTCATTTTCTGATGCTCATTGGGTGAAACTACCTTCTTGTCCACAAGATTTGAGGTGAAAGGTATCACTGTGACAGGAGATGGAGCAGTGCCTCTATGCATTGCCCCTGCTCTCCAGTACCTCGAACCAAATGTGTTTTCCCACTGCTTGGTAGTTCCAGAAAATCCAATATCCAGCTTCTTCCCTTTGGTTCGGTCAGAGTCCGTGTCATCATGCTCTAATACCTTCCCTAATGCTTCCATCATGTCTTTACAGTAAGAAACAGGATGCAATTGGTGAGAATGCCAGATGAGATCAATGTCATAAGTTGGAACACAGAAACGTTTGATGGACCTTTCTCTGTTTCTCTTGATCAAATGCAGAAACCCTTTGTATCTCGCCACAGCACACTCAAGAAAAAGATTGTCATTCATACTTGGTCTGGCAACCTGCCACAAAAATTATATACAGACATAAATAGACAATAAAGAATTGAACAACTAAAATAAGTTAGAACAGTCTAGCACCTATGCAGAAAGGAAATGGAGGTTAGAACATAAGAACCAAGTAAAGCCAGTGAATACAAGATAACAGTGAAAAGAAATCTACCATGCCTCTGGAAACATGATAACAGCATGAACTGTTCCAATTAAGAAACTGATACACTACTTGTACAATATAAACTTATCGATTCTATTTTCAATCTCCTATACCAATACATTTAAAACAATTACTCCTGGGCAGTCTTTTAAAACTGGGTTAGTCAACATAGAGATCAAAATATCCACTCACAACCAACCAGATTCCCAATGGGATTGCTAAACTAAGCCCAGGTCAAGTTGCTTTTTGACAAAATTTGTTTGGTGAAGTTTTTTTTGGTTGCATTCAATGGGGCTACACAAAAGGGAGGATATCCCATCCCCCAAACCTCATAAGCCCCCAACAACGGTGAAGGTGGCAAGATCCCAAGTCTCTGCTACAACCAACCAAGGACCTTATAAACTGAATCAGTTGGCACCCCACCTTCCACGCATGTGGGTACAAACCATTTGATAAAGAAAACAAAGTTATGCCACTTTCCTCTTTTTTCTAAGAAACACTAGCTCCCATAGCCCATATGATTTATTTTCTTCTTTCAAATTTTTTGAATTCACATTTTAAACCCAACATTTTCCTTTCATATATTTATCCATCAACTTTAAACCCTATCCTTCAAACTTCACTTACTTAAAAGTTATCTCATAGTTATCAAAGGCTGTGATGCCTGGATATGTTTGGACATAACTGAACAAGATATCAGGCTTGAAAATTGGACTAAGATTGAAGCACTTGTCATGGCATGACAATCATGTATAGGTCTTCAAATAACTATGATTGTGTTTGGACTGAGGTGCAGAAGTCAAACAGTGGAATGGATTCCATGGTTCTACAAATAATGTAAAGACACCTACCTCCAATTCATTCTATTATATAAGGCACTGACCAAAAATGCAACACAACATCCACTACACATATTCTGCTTCCCTTTTTCAGATCTGAACAGCAGAACATGAAAGGTATTGGATTCAATAATCCTTTTCTGTCCTCCATTTCCATTTCCATCATAATCTAAAGACAGACTTAGTGGAAAAAAAAATCATATTTTACTTTTTATCAACAACAGTAATCAATTAGATTTATTAATTTAGTAGCAAAGGTGCAAAAGTTAGTGTTGGAATGGGATGGAATCTCATACATTCCCTCTTGCAGAATACGAATGAACTCTTTTAGAATTGCACTTCATAAGAAAGTTCTCTCCATGCTCATGTAGCCTACCACAGAAATAAATGCAAAGGAAATATGTGTACTTGGTAAAGTCTAACAAAGAATGCCATAGAACTGTTTTAAATCTTCAGTACTGTAGGATAATAAATTAATTATACAATATGTCCATCAGGATGTATAATAAACAGGCATGAAATCCTCATAATTACCTGGTAAAAGAAAGGGCTCTGCCTTTTAACAGCTGAAACCAAATCATATTTTGTGCATCTAAGAGCCTCTGGAAACTTTTCATCAATATTTTTTGATAAAGAGATGCTCAAGTCAAGCTTGTATGGCTCTTCAGGATACAGTCTGTTCCAAATTTCTTCAGTTTTCTTTGTGGAAGCACCTTGAATGGTTGACACAACATTATGATTGTCAAGGATCCTCCCATAAAATTCCTCACAGTCTGCTTTGTACTGGACCTGAGTAACAAAACCAATGAAGCCAGATTTGAAAATTTTATTATACACAAATTTTAAAAGGAAAAAAAAAGGAAAATTTATCTTGTAAAGATATACCGGGTTGAGCCTATGACAGTGCCAGATCCATTCACAATCAAGAGGCACAACCAAAGGGCCTTCTGAAATCCAAGACTCATCTTGCTTTGCAAGCAAGGGGAGCCAGCAAGCCTTGTACCTGAAATTGTACATATCAGAATTCAGTCATAGGGGTCAAACTTGCAATTGCAGTATTCACATAATCTATCTTCCTAGAATGAAGTCAAAATAGTAATCAACAGAGGAGATTGAGAATAATCAATATTTATATTGAAGGTTCAACAGTTGAGGTCAGCATCTACTGAAGAACTTTCTTCCTTTTCTTTCACATTTGTAGGCAGGGTGCAATTACAGGGTTTCATGAATGGTACTGCCCAAGTCCAATTATGTAACAGGGATAAAACCTTGTCTGCTTCTCTAATCAACAAATAGGTGGTAAATACCGTCACCATCATCATTATAAATTGTTTAAGACACATTTTAAGGCCCAATTGATATTCCCCATATTACATGTTTATAAATTTATAAATTTGTTAGTAGTGCATGCACTCTCTTCCTTAAAACATGATTGCATCATCTTCCCATAGTAGATCTTATAAACCAGCATTTAACTTGAATAGTTTTCTTTAAGTAGGGACCATTGCTTAGTGTGAGGGTAAAATCTCAAGCTAACAATCCTGAAAACAGAGCTCCAATCTATAACCAGCCATGTACAAGCTAAAAATGCTGGAAGTTAGGTTTGTACCCAATCCATCCCTCTGAAGTCCCTGAATATAGCTGGGACCAGCATTGGGCAATGGCCTTTTCCACTTGTACCTAACACTTTAAAACAGGACACATACAAACTGCATATCTCCAAAGGTCAAAGGTGGTTGTCACCAACTAGGAATGGCAACGGGACGGGGACCATACTCCATGTCCCCCGACCCCAATCCCTGTTGGGGATAAAAATGACCCTCCATCCCTGATCCCCTTGGGGTGGGGCAGTGAATTCACTCCTCATACCCGGTCGGGTATCACTATCAATCCCCATCCCCGCCAAGGCAATCTCCATCTCTGACCCCATTGAGTTGGGGAAGCCGGGTATCCGACAGGGACACAAAAATTGCCATCCCTATTACCAACACCTAACAATTTGAAAACATCACAAAGAAAAGAAAAGGAAATTAAGTCCATGATGTACCAAGATACATGCCAAATGAAAACCATGAATTAAAAAGTATTGATGAAACAACTTGTTAATCTACATACCTGTAAATAGCATAGTACAGAACAGGACCATCATAGAGACACCGGTTCCTATCAACCATTGCTAGAAATTGCAGCTGTTGTTTAGCTGCTGCTATGAGGTCTTCACTTATGACAATCTTCTGTGCTTCAAGCCACTCTAGTTCTTGTTCCTTCTCCATTTCTAAGTAGGGGAATTACCAGGTGACAAATACAGAATATCACTCTCCTGGGATATGAATTCAGATAAGTGGAAATTGTTTTCAATGATCCAGTAAGATTTAAAATAAAAGGAAAAGAAATGAAATGAAAACTTCACTCGACATTTGCAATATACTAACCATGGATTCTTTCGATCTTTCTTAATAATCGTGTACCTCAAAACAAGGATAGTTTATTCTATGATGAACAATTTTTGAAATATCAGATATCAATACCATTTATTATCATCATTTCTTTCCGACCAATCTGATTAAGATGGGATAACAATAGCAAAAGAGAAAAGAGAAAAGAAATTATTCTTCAATAAGAATTAGATCCTGCTCACAATCTACAAATTGCAAAGATGGCATTAGATATTATCATTCAAAATTCAGATGGAATAATAGTGACATAAGAGAAAATCAAGTCAATCAACAATGCAACATCCAACTAAGACCAAGGATTTACAAAATTAAACCGGGAACAAAACATCGATAATAGGTAAACAGAACCTCAAAAAATACTGGCATAGTTATTTGGACATAATTGAACAAAGAATGGGAGTATGAACAAAACTACGTACGACCATTTAAACAATCAGATGAGTAGATGAAAGGGGTTAAAATCTGAGAAAGTGGAAACCCCAAAGTCAACGAGAAGCTACAGTTGGTGCTTCAACGTTCAATTTCTATGAACTATTTGCAATAACAACTTTGGGGGAAATAACGGGAGAAAACAGGTATTTGATTCGAATTGAAGAGCCAACGACGTAACAGGATTATCAAGAAATAATCAAACGCCTATATAAGAATTTCATCGAAAAAGAGGAGATGATCATAGAATTCTACGGAAAGAGCCGAAGACTCACTGTGAATGGTTCGCCGTCGGCCAAGGCCAGGAACTCCCGTCTATGATCAGTTCACAGCTTCGGCCACTCTATTAATTTGCCTCTCGCTAGTGGCTTCCTTCTGGTGGGACTTGGGAGTTGGGAGTGGACTGTACTGTTCGGCATGGAGCATGCCGGTACTACTAAGTAATAATAGTACTTTTCCGGCAATAATACAGTACTGTTCCACCTGGCAAGCTGGGCTGATACGAAATGTATTATAAAAAAATAAATAAAAAAACTTTAAGTTAGGGTAAATCATAATTTTCATTTAAAAAAATTTATGCAGAAGAAAGTTACCACCAACTTACGGCCAAACAAAGGGGGGCCTATAAAGTAGAAAAACGCTCACTATTTAGCATTTACCAAATACTACGAAACCAAAATAAAAATACAAAAACAAACCAACCACGTCAAATGAGTGAAATGACATAATGAAAATAGGGGCTATTAAAGAAAAGGCATACTGGACGAAGGCAAAACAGAATCAATTTTATAGACCAAAGTGCCCATGCTTAATTGTCTCTTTCTTAATTTATTGACGAAAACACCCTCGAAATATTCCAAATTTAGAAGGCTAATCACGTTCCTGGCGTGTAGACTAGACTGTAGCAGGTTCGCATATTCGTTTGTTTGGTGGTCCGTGGGCGGTGGGCCAGTACTCCAGCACTCTAGCCTCCGCTCGCCTGGGCCCTCCGTTAGACGTCGTTTTCATAAATCATTTATTAAAAAATGATCAAACCGAATTGAAAATCCAATTAACTAAATCGGCTTGTTCGGTATTATTAAAAAAGTAAAGGTACTTGTTCAGTTTTAGCTAATCGACAATAATATTTATTATTTAAAATATAATATTATATATTTCTAGTTTTTATTATATATTTATACATTTTTTATAATATATAATAAATATAAAAAAACAAAAAATCGATTAATCGAATCGATGGTTAACCAATCATCTTTAATTAAGTCAGGCCTTTAATTAAGAATGGCAATTTCTACCTAACCAATATTTATCCGCCACAACTCCATAGGCAGGATTTTTTTTCGTTTGAAGTACGGATTTAGTGGCAAGTACGAGTCTTTGGATTCTACAATCTACGAGTATGGGTTTTTGGATTCTACAACCTATGCGTATGCGTAGGGTATGATATTATTAAATTTGATCTTTTTGACCAATGTATTGATGTAAAGCATATAAATTTTTTGAAATCAAATTTGTTCCTCACAAGAGGGTGTTCATACCATTCGCAATGTTTCTTACCAAGTATAGAGATATTTCCAATGAAAGGCTGCAACGGATTGTGTGAACAGTGTAAGCACATTCTTGTGAGTATGAATCTAATCTCAAACTTCATGTATTAGGCAAGGTTCAAAATATCAATACCTAGTATAGGCGTATTGGGTGAATTGATACAATGTTTTAGACTTTTTTTCTATTTTTTTCACAACTGGTTCAAGGGGGGTTTAGGTCTCCTCTACCCCCTGAACTGGTTAGACCTCCGATACACCCATTGTAGGGGCGTATCGGAGGGGTCTCGGAACAATACGTATCGGCTGATACGGGCTGATACGTATTGATACTTTAAACCTTGGTACTAGGTCTTAAATTTAATAATATTTTAATTTTTATATAAAAAATAATTGATAGTTTATGTATTTTTTATATGTCTTAATCAAATAAGTTAAAATTTTGTTGTTTGTGTTATTTTAATTATTTAATACTTATATATAATAAGTAATAGAAAATTAGATGTGAATTCTAAACCCAATTCATCCCTACCCTTGAATGCAAAGAAAATAGGATTGGAGAGGGTTTTACATTTTCCTATATGAGAAGGATTTAAAATCTCAAAATTTGACGTGATATAAGTTTTAGGACAAGTATGGACTGGGAGGTTTACCTTTAATTTGCATAATTCTTTGACAGCACATCTTACGTTTCCTTTTCCTTCTATGCGATCCCTATCAGCTGAGAAGAGAAAATGTGAAATATTCTCTCCTGCTGATTGCGGATCATATTTATTTTGCTATACCCAAAATTCATGAACTGGTTAGTAATTAATTACGCTCCTACTACACTTTGTGGGCTCTTTCGTAATTGCATTTTCAGGCCGTAGCAATTCAGGCACCTGAATAAAGAGTCATTTGTTTTCAATTCTTTTGATCTTCGCATGATGCCTTCGACTCTATATTTAATTAAGAAAAAAATTACCGATTTTAGAATTTTTAAGGGTATATTTCGTTCGTGGGAATAGGAGTTAAAATTGGAATTAGAATGGTCTGATTATTAGTTGGATAAAATTGGAATTCCATTCACATTTTTGGTAGAATGGCAATATCCCATGAGGGAATGGTCATTCCCTTGAGAATAAAAATCAATTCCACCCAATTCTAATTCTGGTTCCCATTCTTGTCTGAACAAAACAGGTAGGAGGAATAAAACATTTTGATTCCAATTCTAATGGATTCTGATTTTGACCAGAAGCTAAATGGATCCTAAATCTATATTTAATTTATAAGTTATCTGTTTTGGCTGTCAATACCATTATTTTACAAGATTAAGGGGAGAAAGAATATAAAGAAATATTACTTTTATTTATTTGATATAATTACGTTATTAAAATAAAAGAAAGGAAAAATTACAAAAACCCAGGGTCTGTGATAAAAACCCCCTGTACTATGACCGTGAGACAAAGACCCTTTTGTTAGCTTTTCGTTCAAAAAAACCGTTACAATATTTTTTGAGTTCTGATTGGCAAAGTTCTTCTACAAAAAAGTCTTTGTGAGAACTGGGAAGACATAAATGTATAGAGGGAGCATGGGAGTAGCCGACTCGGGAAGCAGTTTGACTTGGATTTGCAGTGCAGTCAGATTGAGATCATGTTACACATAACACATCCATCCAGGTAGCATGCATGTTTTGTTTCTGTTGCCTTTGCCTCTGCGTCTCTCTTCTCTAAATACTCAATATAAAAAATCAGCATACTGTGACTTCACACTACGTTGTTGCTGGTGCTTCTCCCCCAGGCCCTGCGCCTCTCTCTCTCTCTCTCTCTTTCTTCGTAGCCTAGAGTTCAGTGACCAACAACCCCAACGACGAAACCCCCCGACCCTTGATTACAGTTGGAGTGCTCGTATCTTACCCACAAAAATCAGAAACAACAAGGCAGATAGTTCTGACTTTTGCCCTATGAGCATAAATTCCTCCGTGATCTCCCACCCTTTAATTGAAACCATTCTTTTCTCATGATCTCACTCTCACTCACTCAGATCGTTTCTCTGTTAGAAAAACAGAGTATCTTCTTTCTCCTTTTGTTATATTCAGCCTAACCCCATTATGGATGTATCAAATTGTCAATTATCATGCACCTCTAATTCCTCATGTAATCCAAAATGGATTTCTTCTTCGAAATCCCCCCACGCAACTATTCTCTTTTGTCAAGCTCTCCCCCTCCACCCAAAACCGGCTACTGTTTTATCATTCATTGCCCCCTTCGACGATTTCCCGTTTTCCTGAACCTATACCTCTCTCTCTATCTCTTCCAGAAACTAAACTCCGTTTAAACTAAACCCTTTGAAGTATTTCTCTTCTCCTAAAAAATGACACATCATCGCTCGATTCGTTCCCTGTTGGTTCTCTTCTCTGTTTTGCTCCTCTTCCTCCTCCCTTGTTTTCCGGTCGCCTCTCTTACAGAAGACGCCATCTTCTTACACCGAGTTAAGAATTCCCATCTCAATGATCCCACCGGTAGCCTCCACAATTGGAATCTACCCCCGCAAGTCACTAACACTACTCCCTGTAATTGGACTGGCATTGTCTGTGATCTTCTTTCCCTTTCCGTTATCTCTATCCACCTCTCGGAACTCCACATCTATGGCTATTTTCCTACTGATTTCTGCTGCATTCCCGCCCTTCAGAACCTCTCCCTCGCTGATAATTTCTTCAACGGTTCCCTTACTTCTGCTCCCACCTTCACCATTTGAATCTGTCCCTCAACTTGTTTGTCGGTAACTTACCCGACTTCACTCCCGATTTTGTCAACTTGCGCTCCTTGGATCTCTCATTTAACAACTTCTCCGGCCACATCCCCCCGAGCTTCGGCTGTTTTCCCAACCTCACTATCCTTTGTCTACAAGGAAACCTGCTCAATGGTATCATCCCTGCCTTTCTTACCAATCTCACCCAGCTCACTAGATTCGAACTGGCTTACAACCCTTTCACCCCAGGTCCCTTGCCATTGCATATTGGAAACCTCACCAAGATAGAAAATCTATGGCTTCCTAACTGTAATCTAGTCGGAGAGATTCCCGAGTCTTTAGGAAATCTCATTTCGCTCAAAAATCTCGATCTTTCCGACAACTATCTTTCCCTCAAGATACCGGAGAGCATAGGAGGATTGAGGAGCGTACACCAGAGCGACAAGGCACCGACCGCGTGGAAGAAGAAAGAGGAGGAGAGAAAGGGGAAGGGGAAGAAGAGAGAATGGGGGAGAGAGAGAAATGTAAAGAAATAGTTATTACAAGGATGATACGGAGATTAAAAATATTGTAATAGTCTTTTTGGACGAAAAACTAACGGAAGGGGTCTTTCTCTGACAGTCATAGTACAGATGGGAGAATTTAGCCTAAAAGAAATTTAAGATTTAGATAAGGAATTTAGGTACCATTTATTTACAATGCAAATTTTATTTAGGTGTGAATGCATGAAAGTGCATATGATGTGAATAATAGTTTACCTTTTCTTCATATTTGATTTGTTTGTCAGATGGGGAATAAAATGATATGATTGGAATTTGGAAGTGGGAACAAGGTTATTTGCTTGAAAGGAGTAAGATATAAAGCAAAATGATGCAATTACCACTTTACATGTTACATGAAGGAGAATCAAGATAATAAAATGGCTTAAAAAACGTAGATGAGAGAGATGGGTGGTATCAATTTTACATCGAACGTAATTACAAACAAATTGATTTAAAACTGAATCAGTTGCAAAATTTACGTTTCGCACCACAAATGAATAGGGCTTCATCGACATAACTTAAGGTACAAGCAAGATTAATACGAACCATCCTTATTTGGCACAAGTAATGAAAGGGAAAATTCGATAGGTATCTTGTACTTTATGTGGAGTGTCAATTTAGTATAGTTTAGCATTGAATTTTAAAATGCCACAATCTAATAC